TTTCAAAAAAAAAAAAAAAAAGAGCTACTTTACATAAAATATAGAAACCTTGTAACCTCATGGGTCCATATCACACCCTATCTTTTATATTATTATATGCATGTTTTACATCTTCACATGGTGTCAACCCCTAAAGACAATGTTAGTTTAAAATATTTATGTGCTTCGTAAAGAAATTAAGAGGAAAAGTTTTTTAAAAATCATTTTTTTTTAGGCCAGGCAAGGTGGGTCATACCTGTAATCCTAGCACTCTGGGATGCCAAGGTGGGTAGATTGCTTGAGATGGGGAGTTTGAGATCAGCCTGAATAAGAGCAAGGCCTTGCTTATAGGCCTAGCTACTCGGCAGGCTGAGGCAAGAGAATTGGTTGAGCCCAAGAGTTCAAGGTTGCTGTGAGCTATGATGACACAACACTACCGAGGGTGACAGAATAAGACTTTGTTTCTCTCTCTCACACACACACCATTTGTTTACATTTGTTTTGATATTTGCCGTTTCTATTGCTTTCCATCCTTTTCTGAGGATTTGAGTTTTTAAGTCGTTTTAGTCTGAAAAAGTTCATTTGGCATTTTTGTATTATACATCTGCTGGTGATGAATTTTCATAGTGTTGTTTTACCTGAAAACATTTCTATTTCACCTTCATCCTTGAGTGATATTTTCACTAGATGTAGAATTTTGGGTTGACACTGTTTCCTTTCAGTACTTTACAGATGTTCTGTTCTGGCTGTTCTTTATTTTTTGGCCAGGAGTTTCTGATGACAGGTTAGCCCATTAATCACATGATTGTCTTATACATGATGGGTCAAGTTTTTCTTGTTGCTCCTGAGGGTTTGTCTTTATCTTTCACTGTCATCAGCTTGGCTATGATGTGCCTGGCATGGACTTCTCTGTGTTTATTCTGCTTGATGTTCATCTAACATCTTGTATCTGCAATTTTGTTTGTCATCAAATTTGGGAAAATTTTAGCTATTGAAGAAATCTTCCAGGTATTTTTCCTTCTTTATTCTCTTTTCCCTTTCCTGCTGGACATACATTTGATTGATCATAGATTATCCACTAACAGGTCTCTCAGGCTGTGGCTGTGTTAGTTTTTTTTATTTCCCCTGAATTCACTTTACTTTTTTCTTAATCATATCCATTCAGCTCATAAGTCTCTTCATTTATTTTTATTTCTGAAATTGCACTTCTCAGTTCTAGAATTTCCATTTGGTTCTTTGCTATTGTTTTTGTTTCTTTGCTGGACCTTCTCATTTCTCTAGTGTAATTTTCATGCATTGAAAACCAATTTTGTTTCACCTTGAGACTGGTTCTAGCATCCCCTTCAGAATCCTTGGCTAGTAGTTCCAGCATCTCAGGGTAGGTACACTTAGGTTTCTTTTCTCTCCAGTGTTATGCATTTTCTTGGTTCTTCTTTTGTCGAATAATTTTGTATTATGTCCTGGACATTATAGGGGTGAGATGGTGTGGAATCAGAATGTCCTTACTTTTCTTCAGTGAGTATTATTTCTTTCTTTTCAGCAAGTATTTCCTTGGCAGGCCTTGAATTCCAATTTCCATTTCTTAGGTGGCAAGTGTGGTCTCTGTTTAGATCAGCAGTTCTCAACCTATGGGTCATGACCCACAGGAACTGTATTAAAGGGTCGCAGCATTATGAAGGTTGAGAACCACTGGTTTAGTTTGTATTTTGGTGTTACCTGGGCTATTGTGAATCTGTTCTGTGTGTGGGGTTGTTCCTTAGTCCTTCAGAGAGAGATGTGGGTAGACAGAGTTTGGGTGGGGTTCCCTCTTTGACTCCTTTTCTCTCCCCTTCTGTGTTGTCTTTTTCTAGCTCTCTTTCCTGGTTCTGAGGTCAGGAGGACTCTAATTTCTTTTTCATGCAAGGCCTACCCCCTCCCTTCTGTGTGTGCCAAGAAGATTTCGTCTAGTGTCAGGGAGAGGGTACAGGGATGAGATCTGACCTGTAACTCCACTTGTACCTTCCAAATGCACCTTTTCTCTGTCCACTGCTGTATCCACTCTCTGCCCCCACCTCCAACACACCTGCTGTGCATTCTGTACATCCAGTGTTACTAATGGTATTCTGCAAGGGGGTATCTCGTTTGTACCCAGAAGCAGAACTCTCAAACCAGTGCCTTATAGTCTGCCCTTATCAGCCACGAAAACCCCTTGTTGCCTCCCTGCACAGTGGGAAGTCTGTTAACAGAAGATTGATTAATGGGGATCATTAAACTTTGCTGGTGACTCCTTCCCACTGGGTGCCCCTGCCTGTCTCTGCTGCTGTGGCTGCATCTGCTAGGGCAGTGGGGGCCTGGCCTCTCACTGCTGCCTGGGGGTCAGCAAGCTTGGGCTTGGGCTTGGGCTTTTCACCATACTTGTGGGGGATCCAGAGCAGATCACTGTTTGGAGGAGGCAGGTCCTCCTCACAGCCAGTGGGATGAATACACCTTGTAACCCTGTCCCAGGGAAAAGTGCCATTAACCCCTTACTCACATGCTTTTCTTGGGGCAACAGCTGAGAGCCAGGGCTCGAGTGTAGCACATTAGAAGTTCCAGAACTCAGGGATCCACTTGCCCAGGGTCTGGCAGGCTGAAACCTAGGCAAGGAGGGTATTGCTAGACCGTGACATTGCCTGTGATGGCAGGGGTGCGGCAGAGAGCCCAGGGTAAGCCCATAAGCCTGTCTCCTCACAAAGGTCTAGGTGCTTTTCTAAGTAGAGGTGGGGCAGAGGGTAGGAGGACCTAGGCTTTGGGCAGAAGAGATAGCAAAACAGAAAGCCTGGACATCAGGAAGGTGGGGGCAGGCGAGCTGGGGCTGACCATTCAGGGAATCCTGAAGCTGGGCTTGGGAAGAGAGCAAGGGCCAGGGGCCGTGGTGTCTGTCCCAGGTCTATAAAAGGGAATGGGCTTGGCCAATGACAGACCACCCAGCTCCAAGGGGCAGGGTGGAGAGACAGGCTGGGGATTTCCTATGGGCTTTCCCCGAGCCACGGAAAGGGCTACAGCGCTGCGGGTGTGGGGCCCACTGCTCCCCTGCCCTGGTCCTCAGGTTTCCACAGTCTCTCGGGAATACAGAGGCTCTCCTGTGGCCTGAGTCCTCACCCTCCCAGATGGTGCCCTTGGGCTGAGCACTCAGAGCAGTCTAGGAGGGACGGGGGTGGGGCACATTGAGTGCTTCTCCGGTCTGTTTCCTCGCACCCACAGGCAGCAAGGTTCCCTGGGGAAGAGCAGTAGGTCTGTGGCTCTGCAGCTGTGGTGGCAGGAGGCCCTGGAGAGCTTGTCCCATGAGCTCCCTCTTATTCCTCCCATGTCCAGGCACAGAGTTCGAGTACACGGACTCAGAGAGTGAGGTCAAGGTGTGCAAGCGGTCCCCAGCAGGGCTGCCGCGGCCCCGGAAAGTACTGGGGGAGCCCGGGCCACCTGCGCCCGTGCCTGCGCCCACTGCTCGGGGCCCACTCCCCGCCAGCCCTGACAAGGCCAAGCTGGCGGTAGAGAAGGGGCGCAAGGCCCGGAAGCTGCGGGGCACCAAGGAGCCTGGCTTTGAGGCAGGGCCCGAGGCCAGCGACGACGACCTGTGGACGCGGCGTCGCAGCGAGCGCATCTTCCTGCACGACGCCTCGGCGGCTGCGCCGGCACCCACCCGCACCACTCCTGCGCCCCGGACCCGTGCCAAGGGCCCCCTGAGCCCACGCAAGGACACCAGCCGCGCCAGGGACAGGAAGGACCCCAGGAAGGTAGGGGGCCTTCTGAGATGGGGGCTCACGCACGGGTAGGGCTGGGGCCACACCCCTCACCACCATGGGACTCAAACCACACTCCTGAGACCCACAGGGAGCTCCCACCAAGGACCTGCCACCCTTACCTTCTGAGGTCCTTAACCTCCCAGCTCCATTCTTAGAATGACACTGCAAAGTGGGAATAAAACGCCTGGGGGCCCCAAGGAAAACAGTGATATTGAAAGGCAGCCACTAAAATGTTGAGAAGACCCCTTTGTGGTACTTGTACATCTGCTACCGTGGGAACACACTGATCAGTGAGGCTGCCCTCTTGGGCCTAGCGAGCACCCTGCCTCCCCAGCGATGCTCTGTGGTCTCTGCAGTAACTGTCGTGTGCTGCTAGACTCTCTGTGGTTTCTGTTAGTGGCAAAGTCACCAGCACTGCTGGTTTTTTTGTGGTTTGTGGCCTCTACTCTCACCTGAAGGAAAACCTCATTTCTTCAGAGGTTAAAATGTGAAAATAGAGGTAGGATTCTTTCCCCACCCATATTCATATAGATCTCTCTGTGGATACCCCAGATTAAGATGTGCCTTTTAAGAACTCCACAATAATGAGACCCGTTCCCCTTTTAGCAAGGAAGCTAATGGTCAGGTGTCACTCCCTTAAATAGCTGTATTCAGACTTAGGCAATTTTCTATACAGTATTCTAACCCAGGTCTCTTCACCTTTGGTCCCTGATATAGGACGAACCCCTAGATAACAATGGCATTCTAGTGAAAATCACAAAAAAGGATGAGGCTTGCATTGGTTTCCTGTTGACAGGTGGGAGGGAGGGAGGGGCTGTGTATGCAGCCTCCCATGGGCCCCTTGGACTGCTTTCACCTCTCCCAAGGCTGAAGCTACTTCAGGCTTTTCAGGGTGTTGGAGAGCAGGTACCAGAATAAATAATAATCCTACCAGGTGACCCATTGTTGGCCCAGATGTGTTCTAACTGCTTTACGATGTACTCACAGGACCATACATACAAAGTAGATTCTTCACATTAATTGCATGTTATAGGTAGCCATGAGAGCACAGGTACCAGCCCAAGGTCACAGTAGCTAATGATCCGTTGGGATCAATGAGCTGGGCTTTGAACCCTTGGGCTTTAACTACTCAGACACACAGCCTCTTTGGGCCTTCCCAAGGTGGTACCTTCATTGTTTTGTTTTGTTTTTTTAAATCGTTTTTTACAGACAGGGGTCTCACTATGTTGCTTAAACTGGTCTCCAACTCCTGGGCTCAAGTGATCCTCTTGCTTCAGTCCGCCTATTAGCTGGTACTACAGGTGTGAGCCAGTGTACCTGGTTCCCAAGATAGCGCCTTCTGTCGGAGGCCCTGACTTCCCATTTCTTGGTGTCTGAGTAGCTAAACACTTGGCCATTAGGGGAATGGACCAAGGGCTCACCCAATCCTGGCCTTTTGATGATGTATCAAGAGACTGGAATAGAATAATCATTAACAAAGGGAGAATCAAACACCCAAGGAGATCACCTGACTGCCTGTCATCCTAAGAACAACCATTGCTGCTAATGATTTTTTGAGCTATACTTTTGTAATAGTAGCTACCCCTTAACTGAGGGAGAAATGGTCTTAGCCCCCCAGTGGACACCGTTCAGTATCAGACCCTATACTGTAAGCACTTACCATGCAGTGTGACTGCAACTTTTGCAGTTTGAGGTGTGATAGCAAAACTAGCTCAGATTTCTTTTCACTACTTCACAGTTTCACGGAGAGAAGACTCTTAGATCTTAGTAACCTTGGCATATAATTTTTTTTTCTTTCTGTATTAAGTCAAGAACTTTAACCTTTTTTCTTAAAGGAAGCACTTTGAGGATTCTCTTTGGCATGTCTGAGTTACTAGCATCACTACTCTTGAGCTTTGAGCCCACTATTAGGTAAAATAAAGGTTACTGGAACATAAGCCCTGCAGTACCACAACAGGCAATCTGGTAATCAAGATGCCTGCTGAATGAGGTGGGTAGCATGGACTGTGGATCCGTTGGACAAAAGGATGAGTCACATCCTAAATAGGATGGTGCGAGATTTCATCACAATACTCAGAACAGCGTGCAATTTGAAACTTATGAATTGTTTATTTCTAGAATTTTCCATTTAATATTTTCAGACTGAGGTTGACTGTGGGTAACTAAAACCATAGAAAGTAAAACCTCGGATAAAGGAGATTTCCTGCTTTTTAAACTTAGTACAGTCTGTATATTATCATGTGCATGTCTACATGTGATGAATTTTTATTTTATGTCAATATAAAACAATGACATCCTACCATCTGGATGTCACTGACATGATGGTTGGCACCATCTCCTCTCACTGACGCTGCTGTCTTGGTGGTTTGGATGATGATGGTATTTTGCCATCGTAATCATCAAAGCAACGAACACCTCTGTTTTTGTGTACAGAGCTTCTGTCACATTGAAAGTTCTTTTCTTTTTTTCTTTTTGGAAGTTATTTTCTTATTTAAAAAAAAAAAATGTAGAAGTAGGGGTGGGAGGCCCTTCCGGAAATGAGTTTTCTGGTCAAAGGGAAAGAAATAATTATTGGTTTTACTGATTAGAATAGTAATTTGGAAGATAAAGAAAAGGAAGAAAAGAAAAATTCACAATCCACTCAGGTTTTTTTTTTTTTTTTTGGCTGTCATTTCCTTGTCTGCAGAGATATACACCATAAGAGGAACTGTTTAATAGCAGACGTTAGAGATTCTCCAGCCCTAAGATGCTTCGATTTCAGAAATATGAACAAGGTTAAAATGCACATCAGAAACAAGAAAATACAATGTGTGTGTATATATATAAATATTTTCCCCCTAAATGGGGCTTAAACTATATACCTTTTAATCTTGAAACATGTCCTATTTTTGCCCCTTTTAATGTTGTTTGCTTTGAAATCTCCTGTTTGATACAAATGTTGTGACTTCTGTTGTTGCCTTGGTAACGTTTGCTCATTATTATTTTTTTCTGTTTCTTAATTTTCAACCTCCTCTGGCCTTGGTCATTTGTTTCAGTAGTATGCCTTTTAAAAAACATAGTCATGTGATCTGTCCCCAAGCCCCTTAACCTCTGGATTGTACCAGCTATAGTTTCAAGTCCTCCTTTTCACACAAAGTGTCATAATTTCCATTTCCCTGTGCCATTGGCTCTGGCTCAGAACATGACACCAGCCACTGTAATCAAAGCACGTTAACTATATGTGTTGATGCCCTCAGAGTTTCTGTGACAGGTTGTGGGACACTGAGGTTGTTTCTGCTTCTTTGCTCTGGTAAACAAAGCTATCCATGATGCCTGTTTTTATTTTATTTTATTTTATTTATTTATTGTAGTTTTTGGCTGAGGCTGGGTTTGTACTCATCACCTCTGGCATATGGGGCCGACGTCCTACTCCTTTGAGCCATAGGCGCTGCCCTTTATTTTATTTTTCTTTTTAGAGACAGAGTCTCACTTTGTTGCCCTCAGTAGAGTGCCGTGGCATTACAGCTTATAGCAATCTCCAGCTCTTGGGCTTAGGTGATTCTCTTGCCTCAGCCTCCCGAGTAGCTGGGACTACAGGTGCCCGCCACAATGCCCAGCTATTTTTTGTTGTTGTTGTTGCAGTTTGGCTGGGGCTGGGTTCGAACTCACCACCCTCGGTGTATGGGGCCAATGCCCTACTCACTTCAGCCACAGGCACCACCCATGATGCCTGTTTTTAAAATGTTCAGGCCAGTTTCCCCTCCCCCAGTGAGAAAAGTCTCTGTACTGGAGAGACCTTTGAACTGGGCTGTGTAGCTCTCTCACTTCACTGCTGGGGCCAGGGCTATAGTGGATATTCCAGCAGTGACTCAGGCAGTAGCCATTCAGCTTTCATTGCTCCTTCTGGGACTATATCCTATAGAAGTAATTGGTAAGGTTGTTTTGTTTTTGTGGAGTCACTTGAAAGAATGAAAATGTGGAGGCAGCCTACATCCCATTGTGGGGGCAGGTGAAGGAATTACGGTTCTTCCATGCTGTGGCTCGGTGTACAGCTGTTATAAAACAAAAACGAAGTCACCTCTATGCAGATCAGTTACACTGAGGGGAAAATGTTGCAAAGCAGGAGTTTTGGTACATTCTCACTTGTGTTTACAAATAATACTATATGTATGCACATGTGTCTGCATAGCCTTGGTGTTTACATGGTCATAGGTGCTTGTGGGAAGTTCTGGAAGGATGCACTGTGCTGTGACTAGTGGCTGCCTCTGTGTGGCTGGTAGCAGGGTGGGTGGAGAGGAACTCACACAAGTGTGTACTTCAGTGTTATCTTTTTTGAGGGCAGCAAATAATACATAGTAGTAATAAAGTAATTAAGATTAAAAACAAAAACACATTGTTGGGGGGTGTTTCATTCCTCCAGGGAGGGACACACTTAGGGTCACACAGAACTTGGGGGGCAAGCAAGTAGGGGGAGTTTGGGGGTCCTGTGCCCCCTAGCTCTGCAGGGGAGGCTGGGCTTTGCCTGCCCTCACCTCTGAGGGCTCCCTTCTGTTGCTTCCTCCTCCAGAAGAAGAAAGGGAAGGAGGCCAGTCCAGGAGCTGCACTGCCGACATCCCGCACTCCTGCCCTGCCCCCTGAGACCAGGGCCCCTCACGCCAGCTCCTTGGCCACTGCCAAGAGGAATAAGGCCAAAGCCAAAGGGAAAGAAGTGAAAAAGGAGGTGAGACTTGTGCTCAGGTGGGACACCATGAGGAGGTGCTGGGTCTGGGCCCAGGACCCAGGCAGGAGTGTTGTACTCTGGGTTTACCATGCCTCTTTCCATGCTCCTGAGGCCAGGGTGCAGTCTCTGCCTGGCATTTTAGGCTTACCCTACCTATAGCTGAGGCTCAGGAAAGTGAGGTGATGTGGCTGCAGTCCCCATGCCCTGAGGATAATGAGATATGTGGGACTTGGACCCTGTCCTCAGGAGGCATCACCTTAGCAGGGGTGGGGAACACCTGACTGGTGACTGTAAAACCTGTCAGGCCAGGTGGCAAGAGCCCCCAGCTCAGCTCCAAGTCTCCCAGGGGTCCTCCCTAAGACATGGATGAATTTTTTTGCTCTGTTGGCAGAGGGAGTTATGCCTCATTGTACCTGTTCCCCACATCTGCCAGTCCCTGTGCAGGTGTTTTTTCTTCAAACCCATCATGCCTGGCTAGAGATGTTGCCTTCATTCCTCTAGGAGGGAATTGAGGCGTTTGTCTCAGTGACAAACATAAGTATTGTACTAAGCACTGAGTGCTAAGTACTGAGCTGAGTATATGTAGGCCCTGGCCAATCAGGTTCCTGGCCCATTTCATCCTCCCTCTGGCCTCTGGGATGCACCCAGCTGGGACCCCTGCTATGCACATGGCAGATGCCCCTGGGGCCTGACTATGACCCTGGGTTTCCCAGGAGTGTCCCTTGTGCCATGTCCTAAGCTACTTTTCTGCCATGCTGTGTTGTCAGAACCGGGGAAAGGGAGGTGCCGTAAGCAAGCTGATGGAGAGCATGGCAGCTGAGGAGGACTTTGAGCCCAACCAGGACTCGAGCTTCTCTGAGGATGAACACCTGCCACGTGGTGGGGCTGTGGAGCGGCCCCTCACTCCAGGTGAGTGGCCATGATGTGTGTCAGGAGGGGCTAAGCTACCAGAGGGGTGTGAGCAGGGAATAGTTTGTACTAAGGCCCTGAGGTCTGTGGAAAGGAGGCCAGTTTGGCTCTGGCTTGGAGATCTGGGGAGGATAAGAATAGCCTTAAGGCCAGGGAAGAGGTAGAGGCTGAGTCTTATGGGTCTAGGGAAGGAGTTGGGTATTTACCCTAAGGAAAATAAGAAGCTCTCCAAGTTGATAAGTGAGAGAGCCATGTGGTCAAGTTGGTTTTAAAGTGAGCTGCCTAACTGCTGGGCAGAGTGAATTAGAGGCCCCAGGGGTCGCTGGGAGTCCAGTTAGGAGGCTGTCACCATCCAGAGGACAGCCGGTAGTGACTGGCTTCGTGCAAGGAGCAGGGAAACAGTGCATTGGGAAGGAGTGTGATGTGTGTATGTGGCGGGGGTGGGGGTGGGGGACTCTGTGTGCTCCATGTGGAAGCCCCAGAGAGCTGGAGGGGCACAGTGGGTGGGGGGTGGGCAGGTAGGGGAGGGGAAGGGCAAAGACTAGAGATGGGTAGGGAGCTGTCCCTGAGACCAAGATCAGTGGGGTCACATGCCAGGCTTTGCTGCCTGGAGTTTCGGGTCCCTGGAATACATCTGGGGAGGCCATGTCCAAGAGGCACTTGGACCCAGGGTGTGATGTGCATAGGGAGACAGAGTGAGAGAAGGGTTATGGCCTGAGATGTGTCTGTCACCTGATAATCAGCTGGTCTCAGGGCTGCTAGTGGGGCTCAGCTGACCTGGGTCTGCCATCCTCTTTCCATGTACCATTTGTGTGCTGGACCTATAGTCTCTGGTGATGCTACCAGAGGCTCTCGAGGGGAGGGGGAGGTCCAGTGGACCTCTTAAGGCCAAGGCCTTTGGCCCTTGCCACCCTGGAGAGTCACACAGCCAAGCCCAGAAGTAGGGTGTTTGAGATCCATGAGGCCCCACATGTGTGTGGGCAGCAATGCAGTTGGCCTGGCATGCCACCTGCCCAGTGAGCTATCCAGGTCTTTCACTAATGATCAGATGGGTAGGACTCGTGTTGAAGTCCCCATTGAGAAGGAACAGATGAAGAATGAGGCAGGCTCCAGGGAGGGAGGGGCTGCAGGTGAATGCTTTGTTTCTACTAGGAAGAGAAAAATTGCATGGAATGTCTGGAGAGTTGTCTAGGCTGTGGTAGGGGTGCTGGTGTTTTGGTGGGGAGGTGTGGCCCAGGTGAGAGTGGGTGGGGTACATTGATGGAGAGCAAGCATCTGTGTGGCACAGAGGGCCTTGGTCTTTAGAGTGGGGATGGATGGGAATCAGTCAGAGGGGGCAGGACCGAGTGCTGCCAGCCCACCCAGGGCCCCATTCCTGCTCTGTGGCAGCCCCTCGCTCCTGTGTCATTGACAAGGATGAACTAAAGGATGGCCTGCGAGTTCTCATCCCCATGGATGACAAGCTGCTGTACGCTGGGCACGTGCACACAGTGCACTCGCCGGACATGTGAGTAGTTAGTGGCTGGTCTTGCAGAGCCCACTTCCCCCCTGCTCTCTGGGCTGTGGCTTCCCCTCGCAGTGGGGGAGGGGTGTGACGGGCTCAGGGCAGATTGGCAGGCTCTGCCTGAGTGGGCTGAGAAAGCGTGTTGGCCTCTCTGGGCTGCCCTTGTGTTCTGCAACCCCTTGGTTACACAGGTGAGGAGACCAAGCTCAGGAGGGGGAGAATTCGGCCCATGCTCACAAAGCAGTCAGTAAACCTTTGAGTCCTGGTGCCACATCCTAGTGGTCTGAGGGCAGAACTGGCAGTGGTGGGTTGGGTTTCTCTGGGGAGTTCTCCAGCCTCTCCCGCTCATGGCACATTTGCCTGGCCTCATAGATACCGCGTGGTGGTAGAGGGTGAACGTGGCAACCGGCCCCACATCTACTGTCTGGAGCAGTTGCTGCAAGAGGCGGTGAGACGGTGGTGGGGGCCCAGGAGGCTGGGGGTCAGGGTGTCCACAGTTACGTGCCTAGCATTAAATCCCATGCTCTCCCAGATCATTGATGTGAGGCCAGCCTCTGCTCGCTTCCTGCCACAAGGGACCAGGATTGCAGCCTACTGGAGCCAGCAGTACCGCTGTCTCTACCCAGGCACTGTGGTCCGAGGTGAGATGTGCCTTCCCCCTGCCCTCCCCAGCCTTCCCCTCTCTCCTAATGTGTCAGCGTGGAACTCTCACTGGCTTACTCGTAAAGACCTATGGGAGCCCTCAGGCATGGTTGGATCTAGGTACCATTCAAGCAGTGTCTTCCAGACACTTCCAGGTTTTACCCTATATACTTTAGGGTGAACTGATTTGGGCTGCATGGTTTTCATTTGAGCTACCACCATTAATCTGATAAGCCAGGCCTGAGTCATATTCTCACACCTGATGCTGAGGAATGAGGTTGGCTTCCTTTTCCACATGGACTGAGAGGGGTGAGGAAAGGTGGCTTCCCCAGGAAAGTTGGGATGTTGTTAGCACAGTAAGAGAATGGAAGCAAACAAAATAATAGGTACTCCAGAAGAGATAAGTGTGGATGTCAGACAGACAAAAGGCAGGTACTGAAATGATCCACCTCCTGCTATTGCAAAACCAACACATCTGGGAGATGGGGGTATGAATGTTGGTTAGACCAAAAATATAAACAAAAAACAACCATGTGCCAAATATATCCCACCCCTTGGCTGCCTTGTAGACATATCCAGAAGATGGAAATAGATACTGGGGTAGCAAAATAATAGATGTCTGGTATAGTCTGAGCCATAGGAGCTCAGTCTGGAAAGATTTATTTTTTTCATCTATTAGGCTCTGATTTGTCATTGAAACTCTGAAAGTCTCATTAATATGGTAACAGTCTGTCTTGGATTCATATTTCCGGGAATTTTCTGCCCCCTTGTATTGTGAGGGTTTGCTCCTTTGTAGGCCTTCCTCGTGGTGTCATTCTTGGATTCTTAGGCCCTCTACTCGCCATAGTTCTGCAACCCCTTTGTCTCTCCCCTGTGTTGCATCACATGTCTTTCTCTTTCTTGGTTCATGGTCCCTTCCCTCATTTTAGCAGAGGATCTTTCAATAGCTTTCTAAAGAGGGGCCATGAGAGGTTAATTTCTCATCTTTGCAGGTCTGTAATCTCTTTATTCTACCCATATTCCTTGCAGATAGTTGAGCTGGATGTAAATTCTAGATCGGAAATAATGTCCTCTAAACATTTCAAGGTCCATTGTTCCATTTTTCTCTAGCCTCCAATGTCATTTGAGAAGTTTAATGACATGTTGATACCCAGATGTGTTTTTTTCTTCTCTGGAAAGTTTTAGGATCTTCTCATTATCCCTGGATCTGGAATTCCATGTGGTTTTGTGTGTGTGTGTGTGTATTTTCATCATGCTGAGAAGGGGAGCTTTGATTCCAAAGCAGTGTCCTTTAGTCCTGGAAGCGTTGTGTGTATTGTGTACTGTGTGGATAATGTTCCTTGTGCATTTCATCTGTTTTCCCTGGAACTTACGCTGGTCTGGTAGCTCTGCTTGTTTGAATTTTTATTTCTATTATTATCTATTTCCTTCTTTTGTCCAAGTTTCTGGGAGATTTTCTCTACTATCTTATAACCCCCCTGTTTTTTTGAATTTAAAAAATTTCTCCCAGCTGGGTGTGGTGGCTCACGCCTGTAATCCTAGCACTCTAGCAGGCTGAGGGCGGGTGGATTGCTTAAGCTCATGGGTTTGAGACTAGCCTGAGCAAGAGTGAGACCTAGTCAGTCTCTACTAAAAATAGAAAAAACTGAGGCAAGAGGATTGCTTGAGCTCAAGAGTTGGAGATTGCTGTCAGCTATGATGACACCATGACACTGTACCCAGGGCAACAGCTTAAGACTCTGTCTCAAAGAAAGAAAAATTCTCCTATCATTAAAAAAATTCTTGAAGTCTTCTTTATCCTCTGAATATTCCTTTAAAAAAAAACTCAAGGCTTGGCGCCTAAGGCTCAAGTGGCTAAGGTACCAGCCACATACACCTAAGGTAGTGGGTTCGAATCCAGCCCAGGCCCACCAAAACAACAATGACGGCTGCAACAAAAAAATAGCCAGGTGTTGTGGCGGGCGCCTGTGGTCCCAGCTACTTGGGAGGCTGAGGCAGGAGACTCGCTTGAGCCCAGGAGTTGGAGGTTGCTGTGAGCTGTGATGCCACGGCACTCTACCCAGGGGGACAGCTTGAGGCTCTGTCTCAAAAAAACAAAAAAACCTCAACTTTGTTTTGTCAACACATTATTTTTTAAAAAATTTTTCAGAGGATCTTTTTTTCCGTGTTAGATTTTGTGAGCTCCCTGTGTCTTGTGGGTACCCCTCTTCCTTTCATTGAAGACTCCTACGTTTTTGTTGACCCTTAGTGAAGAGAGACATCAAGGAGCTGATGAGAAGCTCTGTGCATGAGTGAGCCCTTGTCACAGCAGTGGGCAGGACTGTTTTGTTAGGAAGCTCCCAAATACCTGCACAAGGTCTTTTCAGCTGGGTAGATTTCTTGTGTCCTCGGGGACAGAGCTTAGTATCTGGCACTTGTGGAGGGGTCTGCCCTTCAGTGTGTGGACTTGCCTGTTAATCCCTGGTTTTAGTCTGGGGGCCCACCTGCCCTCCGCACCTGTGCTTAGCGTCCTTCATTTGGAGCCTCTCTGGTGGCCTTGCAGCCCTCTGCCTGTTCAGTGTCAGGGTCCCCATATCCCTGCTTCAAGAGGTGCCTATTGGCTCCTGGGCCGAGCCTTGGCAGGGTTCTCTTGGGAAAACTACTTCCCCCCCATTGTCTCATTGACATTGTCTCTTTACAGAAGACCAAAGTCATCTCCTTCATGTCCATCCTTATGTCCTGATGTCTGTCTTACTCCCACTCCCTCCTGCCTCCCACCCTTCCCTGTGTCCTTCAGGGCTGATGTTCTTCCTTTATTGCTGTTTCCAGGAGTATCTTGGGCATGAGTGGGCACAAGTGTGTGTGATCTGCTGTCAGTCCCAAAGGCAGCTTTAAGTGGGAGACCCAGCATTCTTGCCCTGACTGCCTGGCTCTGAAGATCACATTTTGCACCACTGTATACCTACCACCAATGTCCCACTGCTGTGCCTTAGAGACTAGGGCTATTTATGGGCTGGTTTCTACTGCCCACCTCACCTGGGAGGATGTGCCTGCCCTCATCAGAGTGCCTGTCCTGACCTCCTGCTCCTCTGATAGGGTTACTGGACCTGGAGGATGATGGGGACTTGATCACCGTGGAGTTTGATGATGGAGACACAGGGAGGATCCCCCTCTCGCATATCCGCCTTCTGCCTCCCGACTATAAGATCCAGTGTGAGTGACGGGCATGACACAAGGGTTCCTGCCACTGCCCCTACCCCCAAGGCCCTTAATTTGTGAGCTCAACCATGGGGATCCACAGGAGATGGGGATGGGAATGGCAGAAACCATGAGTGGAGCTCCCAGAATGGGACTGGGGAAAGGGGATTTCAGGCCTGCCAGATCTTGCATCCTGTGGCCCATGGGAGTAGCCACAGACCTTGGGAGACTGACTGAGGTTGGTCATAGGCAATTCCAATCCCCAAGTGACCACAGCGGTGTGGAATTCTTGCCTCAGCCCCATGAGGCTGGTACTGCCATCCTCTGACTGCTTAGTCAAGGCTGGGCTTCCAGGTGGTTAATGATTTTCCCACACTAAGACAGAGGCAGGACTTGGACCCAACACTGCCTGAATTCTTGGGGTTAACATCAACAGTTTTAAACATCCTAAGTAAGTGGGTCATAAAAACTGCAAAAGTCAGCATCTGTGATCAGCCCCTCTGAGTTCCACAAAGCACTTTAGTTCACTTAATAAGGGGTCCCTGCTGAGCAGCTTGAGTACCAGATGGGGAGCTCCCTGAGACCAGCCACACAGCATCATCTGCAGAAACCAGGCCTGAGCCACTGTGCTACACCCTGCAGGTGCTGAGCCATCCCCAGCCCTCTTGGTGCCGAGCGCCAAGCGCCGCAGCCGTAAGACCAGCAAAGACACCGGGGAAGGCAAAGACGGGAGCACAGCAGGGTCTGAGGAGCCAGGAGCCAAGGCCCGAGGGCGAGGGCGGAAACCCAGCGCCAAGGCCAAGGGTGGTAGGTTGGCCCAGCCCCTGCCAGTGTTCTCTTGTGGGGTACCTGCATAAGTAACCACACTCTACCTTCCTAAGAACCCTGCCCCACAGGGAAGTACTGAACAATTGACACAGGAGGAACTGGAGGCAGAGATAGGCAGGATCTGAATTCAACCTGAGTGTGTTTCACTCCAGAATCCAGAGAAAAGTGCTTTGGACTGAAGGCTGAAGCTATGAAGTACCCACTTGGGGCAGCACAACATAGATGGCTGTTATAGAGAGCCACCCAGGGCCAAGGAGGGCACTGGGCCAGATCCCTGCGGGACTCAGCACAACCAGGATGGAGGCCCAGGCTTCCCAGTACAGGCTAAGGCTGGTCTCCTGCCAGGCTGGCAGCCTCCCCTTCCCCAGCCTCACATCTGATTTCTTCTTTTCTTTTCTAGACAGAGCTGCAGTTCTGGAGGAAGCAGGCTCAAAAGATGAGGTCCCCAGTACCCCCTTGGCCCTGGAGCCAAGCAGTACCCCAGGCTCCAAGAAGAGCCCCCAAGAGCCCGCAGATAAGCGGACCAAAGTCCCCAAGGCCCGCCTGGCTGCCCCCCAACCCAGCCCTGCACCACCCACCTTTGCCAGTGGCCCTGCTCCCGAGCCCTTTGGGGAGCTGCCGGCTCCCGCTGCCCCCCTCATTACCATGCCTGCCACCCGCCCCAAGCCCAAGAAGGCACGGGCTGCCGAGGAGTCAGGTGCTAAGGGCCCTCGCAGACCGGGGGAGGAGGCTGAGCTACTTGTCAAACTGGACCATGAGGGGGTCACATCGCCCAAAAGCAAGAAGGCTAAAGAGGCCTTGCTGCTCCGTGAGGACCCAGGAGCTGGAGGCTGGCAGGAACCCAAGGGCCTGCTGGGCCTGGGTGGCTACCCTCCAGCTACAGGCAGCAACGAGCCTAAGACAGCCTGGCCCAAGGCTGCAGATGGGGATCTGGCCCAGGAGCCTGGGCCAGGGCTCACATTTGAGGACTCTGGGAACCCCAAGAGCCCAGACAAGGCCCAGGCGGAGCAGGACGGGGCTGAGGAGTCAGAGAGTGGCAGTAGCAGCAGCAGCAGCAGCAGCAGCAGCAGTAGCAGCAGCGGTTCAGAGACGGAAGGCGAGGAAGATGGCGACAAGAGTGGGGAGGGAGGCCGTGGTGCCGGGGGCCGCAACTGCAGTGCTTCCAGCTCCAGGGCATCCTCCCCTGCCTCCTCATCCTCTTCATCCTCATCTTCCTCCTCCTCGTCATCCTCCTCTTCTTCTTCCTCGTCCTCCTCATCATCCTCTTCGTCTTCCTCCTCATCCTCCTCGTCGTCCTCCTCTTCCTCCTCGTCGTCCTCGTCCTCCTCATCATCCTCTTCGTCTTCCTCCTCATCCTCCTCGTCGTCCTCCTCTTCCTCCTCGTCGTCCTCGTCCTCCTCTTCCTCTTCCTCCTCTTCCTCCTCCTCATCCTCCTCCACCACAGATGAAGACTCCTCCTGCAGCTCAGATGATGAGGCAGCTCCTGCAGCAGCGGCCGGGCCCTCCACCCCGCCTGCGCTTCCCACCAAGGCACCCAAACAGGCCAGCAAGGCACGCTCTTCTGCCCACTCCCCTGGCAAGAAGGCAGCCACACCGCAGCCCCAGGCACCCCCGCCTCAGCCCCCACAGCCCCTACAGCCCAAAGCTCAGGCTGGGGCCAAGAGCCGACCTAAGAAGAGAGAGGGCGTCCACCTCCCCACCACCAAGGAGCTGGCCAAGAGGCAGCGTCTTCCATCAGTGGAGAACCGACCCAAGATTGCTGCCTTCCTACCAGCCCGGCAACTCTGGAAGTGGTTCGGCAAACCCACCCAGGTAGCCAGGCCTTTTCTTTCTCTGGAGAACTGATTACTCTTTGCTGGGCCCTCCCTGCCCCTCATAACTGCTTAGCAGACCCAGAGAGGAGGGCAGGTATCCCATTTTACAGATGGGTACACTAAGTTTCAGAGTACCCAAGGCCACCCAGTCTGTCTGACTCTAAAGCTGTGTCCTTCACAGAGCAGCCCTGCCCTCTAAGCTCAGAACCCAAATGATGGCTGTGTAAGGACCAACATGGACCCCACCTTCAGGGGTCAGGGATCACATGAAAGGGTCTTTCCAGACTTCTTGGCTAGACAGCTCGTTTCTGGTTGAAGTCCCTTTGTTTCCAGCCACTCTTCACCTTCAAGTGGCAGCATGCTCAAGGCTCTTGGCTGATAGTGTGACAGTCCCAGCAGAAGGCCAGGGCCAGGTCATGTGCCTATCCCTGAGCTAATCAGCATAGCCTAGAAAGCAAAGTTCTGTTTGGCCGGTCTGGATCCTATGTCCGCCCTACAGGAAGGGGTAGGTTGTCCAGAGGAGCCTTCCCAGCCCGCCCTGTGGCTGTCTGCCACTCACGTGCACACCTGAATACACTTACATGCATGTACACATGCACATACATATATGCCCACCAACAGTGCACACACTGGCACATGGATGCATGCATACCAGTGTGCACATACGCAGTGCACACATGTAAGTATGTACAGTTGTTCACACATACACATGCACTTCTCAGTGAATGACATTGGCAGTAGCTATTCTGGAAGCTTCCATGTGGAGAATGGGAACATCCCCCATGGTCACCAGTCTATTCCCCATACCTAGGCAAGAGGCTCCTGGCTGGGCAAACGTGTGGGATTGTCCAAGTCTGCAGGTTGGGTGGCCTGGGTTTTGCACGTAGCATTGGTCTTCCCAGAGTAAGTGGAGGTGGGCCGTGAGGAGATGGCACTGCTGGGTTTGTACCTCTCTAGGGCCCTGTTCTCACTAAGGCAGGTTGACAACCTGGTGTTGACAGTGATAGGCTTGGGTGTCTCTGGCAACACACTTCTTTTTTATTTATTTTTTGAGACAGAGCCTTACTTTGTCACCCTCAGTAGAGTGCCATTGCATCATAACTCACAGCAACTTCAAATTCCTGGGCTTACGAGATTCTCTTGCCTCAGCCTCCTGAGTAGCTGGGACTACAGGTGCCCGCCACAATGCCTGGCTATTTTTAGAGATGAGGTCTTGCTCTGGCTCAGGCTGATCTTGAACCCGTGAGTGCACCCACAGGAGGGTGCAGGCAATCCACCCTCCTCGGCCTCCCAAGTGGTAGGATTACAGGCGTGAGCCCACCACACCCAGCCTTGCCAACACACTTCTTAAAAGCTTGAGAAGCTTCTGGCGTATCTGCCCTGCCTCAGAGGAATAGTCTTAATGGGTTCTGGTGATTTTTGTTCTTACCACAGTTTTTCAGGGCCTGCCTTTTGCTACCCATGGGTGGCTGGAAAACCCCATAGTGGGAAGATAGCTCCATCTGTCCCAGGCTGCTCTTCACTGGGGGGGCTCTCTAGAGTTGGGTGTTTTCTCCTTTCAGACAGGGGGTGCAGCCACTTGAGCTGCAACTCTTTTTTTACTGGTCCCTCTTCTGTAAGGGTACTCGTTTGAATTTGAGGTCCTTGTGGGGCACAGGATTATCTGACTTAATGGGTACAGGCTGAAAAAGCCCCTGGGAACAGGGTGGTGGCAGGTGGAGGGCTGGGGTGATGCCACCACTGAAAAGCTCAACCTGAGCTTGGAACTTACCATCCCTCCTGCCATGAACATAGTTCTATGCCTTGAGTCAAAGAGAGTTTGAGTTCACAGAATACGCATAAGAAATCAGTTTTGTGACTACTGAAAGGTCTGTCCCTACCAGGGATCTGGCAGATTAAAGGTAGAAAGGGGACAGGGGGATAAGGTAGGAAGCCAGCATGATGTTTGTTCCCCTGCTCTGGCAAAACACTGGACTTCAGTCTGGCAGTGGTGTGAGAAGGGAAAAGGAGGCTTTAGAATTTAGTCTGAGGTGAGAATATGGTGGTTCTGTGGAAGCCATAGCTTTGCTCAGTCTGGTTTTCAGAGGAGTTTCTCCCTAGGATGGTGACAGTGGAGGCAGGCATACTCAAAGAGATCCTGGGACACTTTGGAAAATGTTGAGTGAATAAATGAAACTCCCAACACAGCAGGGGGCCTGGGTGAAGCTAGGTCCTGCAGGTGCTGAGCACTCAGTGGGAGGCAGTATCTGGGGTTTAAAGTCCTTCCAGGGACAGACCTTAGCCCATGCCTTTGGGGAGAGGATGTGTGTGGATCCCCTTACTCCTCATTAGGCCACGTGGGGGACTGATTCACACTGGACCCACATGAGGACATTGTGACATCTGTCTGCCCTTTTTCGTCTCCCCTTTCCTATGGCCCTTCTTTTTCTCCTGGGAACACTTCCAGATAAGTCCCTCTCATCCCAAGTCCTCATCTTAGTGTCTGATCCTTGGACATAGACCCTCTTTTAACTTAAGAAGCCCAGTAAGTAGAGTGATCTCACCCATGGGCTGCGCAGTGAGTCACCAGGGGCCTTGAATGAGACTTTGCTTTGTGATGGCCCCAGAATCTGCCACATACAAGGCCAAGACTCTGTGGTCTGCCCTGTGCTCTGGTCCTGCACCACAGTGGGTGGCCCTGGGCAGTGGCCATGGCAAAATACACATATACACACACCTATCTCCTCAGCTTCGTTTTCCCTGCTAACAAAATGAGGCTGCATGTGGCTGACTCTTGTCTCACAGGGTGGTGGCAGGACCCAGTGAGGAGTGTGGAAGATGCCACGGGGCAAAGGAGACCCCATACACAATAGGCAGGGGTGGCAGGAACATCTGCACTTTTAGTGGTGCCCTGGCTGTCCCTTCTAGCTATAGTATCCTTGGCTTAAATGCAGTCCCTTTTTGAGACCTAGCAATATGAGATGGAAGAGGGGTGTCCCCAGTTAGAGCATGACAAGGGGTTCCCTCCCTTCTGCTGCCTTCTGCAGAAGCCCTGAGTTGACAGTGCTTGACTTAGAGGCTGAGGGTTGGGGAAGTGGGGGGCCGGGCAGACAGGACCTGGGCCTAGCCTGTGCCCTCATGACCTGAGTCTTATCCCCATAGCGTCGAGGCATGAAGGGCAAGGCCCGCAAGCTCTTCTACAAGGCCATTGTGCGTGGCAAGGAGCTCATCCGTATTGGGGACTGCGCTGTGTTCCTGTCAGCTGGCCGCCCTAACCTGCCCTACATTGGCCGCATCCAGAGCATGTGGGAGTCGTGGGGCAACAACATGGTGGTCCGTGTCAAGTGGTTCTACCACCCAGAGGAGACAAGCCCTGGCAAGCAGTTTCACGAGGGCCAGGTGAGCCCACAGGCCAACTATGTCACCCCTGCTACCCCATCTGGGTCCACACAGTATTGGAAGATGGATGCCTGGAGCATTGCTTAGTCTGCCCAGTGGTGGCAGCCCTGCCTTGGGGTCTGAGGTCAGATGAATCAGCTTCTCTTTTGTCCCCTACACAGCACTGGGACCAGAAGTCTGGCCGTAGCCTCCCCGCAGCCCTGCGGGTCTCCAGCCAGAGGAAGGACTTCATGGAGGTAGGCAGGCACAGGTAGCTGGGAAGTGGCTGCCACCTCCCAGGCAGCTCATGCAGGGGTCCGGCCGGATTTGGTGGCTCTGCCTCCATGGCCTCCTGCAACCTCTGCCCTTTTATCTCTGCCACTTTGAGCTGCCTGGCTCCTGTTCTCTATCTCTCCTGGTCTCTGCTTCTGTGTCTGTGCCTCTGGGTCTCAGTCTCTATTCTCATCTTCAGCTTTGCTTTCTTGCAGTTTCTGGATGTCTTTGTCTCTCAGTCTTGGGGGGTCATTCTCAGTGTTTGTCTCTCTTTGTCTCTGCCTCCTTTGGTCTTTGAGTCTTTCTCGGCATCTGGCCCCTCTGGCCTGGGAGGGTGGCCCTACCCTGCTCATCCTGACACCCTGCTCATGCCCACAGCGTGCCCTGTACCAGTCCTCACATGTGGACGAGAATGACGTGCAGACGGTATCGCACAAGTGCCTGGTGGTGGGCCTGGAACAATATGAGCAGATGCTCAAGACCAAGAAGTACCAGGACAGCGAGGGCCTGTACTACCTCGCGGGCACCTATGAGCCCACCACGGGCATGATCTTCTCCACAGACGGTGTGCCCGTGCTCTGCTGAGCCCGAGGCTGCCTTGTGCCCTGGGGGCCAACAGGGCCCTCACCATCACTGCCACAGCGCAGGGACCACGTGCGTTGCGTGCATGCAAGTGTGCCCATGGGCATGTGCATGGGGCCAGGTGTGACGTGGACGCCTCGGGCGAGTGTGAGTGTGTACATGTGTGTGCCCGTATGCATGCACGTGTGTGCACACATGTGCACACATCTCAGCCCTACTCTCCTAACCCCTCAGTGCCCCCAGGACAGGGGCTCCTCTCAGCTATCAGGGTATGGCTTTGCTGTCCCCCTCAGGGTGGTCCCGGCCAGGACTGGCCTCAGGCCTCCGGTCCAGCACCTTGTAAGCACTTGGCCAGGTGCCCCTAGGCCCAAGCAGACTGGGGGTTTGGTGGCGAGGGGGCTTCCAAGCAACCAAACTGACACTCTGGGGTTCCTGGCACCCATGGCACGGAGCATACCCCAAGATCTCCCCCTGAGGGATGGGGCGGTCCAGTGCCAGCTGGCCTCACCCATTGTGCCAGGCCTGCTCTGGGCACCCTTCCTGGTCAGCCCCACCCTCTCAGGATGGTCTGGACTTAGGGAACAGCTGGGCAAGGGTGGAGCCCAGGAGCATCACACAGTGCCAGGTGGAGGGGGCTGCATGCTCCAAGGTCTGGCAAGCGCCCCCTCGGCCCAGAGCCTCACACTACAGAAAACCCCATTGGTGCTGAATCCTCGCCGGCCATGCCCGGCCCCTCCCCGCCCAGGAGGGAGGTGGCAGTTCTTAACCTGTACAGTTTTATTGTACCGAGAGACTCACCCCGCCCCTGTATCATAAGCCTTTAAATGGAGTCAACTTTTTAATTATATATATAAAGATAAATATATATAAATATATATAAATATAAACTTTTTAAAACTGTGAAAAATAGCTATGAAATTATAAAAAAAAAGCGAACACATTCTGACGTGCAGAATATTATTTTTTATTTCCTGTTAGATTGTGAGTGTCTAGCACCCAGCTTCACCGGCTTCATCGGCCTCCTCAGCCCCCAGCACACACCCCCTGCAGCCCAAGGGTGCCGTACTTGCCCCCAGGACTAAAAATGAGTTAGGGAGAGAGAGACAGCAGACTGAGCAAGGGACAGGGAGGGAGCCACCCCAACCTAAGGTCCTGCTCAGGCCCAAGAAAGCACTTAACCAGCCTCCGAGCCTTCCAGGGAAAGGGAGGCTTCGTCCAGACAATCTTGAGGGAAGGAAAAGCCAGACTTCGGTTTTGTTTTTTGGGGGGAATTATTGTTTTCCCTTTTTTTTTTTTAAGTTTCTTTTGGAATTTTGTTTGTTGGCAAATTCTGTGTGATCTTTTTCATAAAAAAAGAAAAGAAAAGAAAAAGATTTAATTGGAAAAATGCCATTGTTCAGAGTGGTTTATTTCAGGGGCTGGGGTAGGAGTGGTGGTTGGGGGAGCCTGCTGTCGTTGGGCACAGGGAGGTTGGAAGTTAGGTGCCACATAAATTAAGCTAATTTACATGATGGAATTAAAAGTTAAGTTTCTCGATTGCAATAGCCACATGTCCCATACCCAAAAGGGGAGAACATGTACAGAAGTTCTCTTGTCTCCCGGTCTGTTTCCCTCCGTTCCTGTCACTTGTGACAGGATGAGAAGAAACGCCTTTACCAGGAACTCGGATCTGTTTTTGTCTAAATGTAGCTCTTGGGCTATTAAAAAAGGAGCCTCCTAAAAAAAAAAAGAAGAAGAAGAAGAAGTTCTCTTGTCAGGGCGGGGTTAGAGGGCTTGCTCCTCTCCTCTTTTCTTTATATGCAGGGTTCAGCAATTCTGGCCATGCCTCTCCCTGAAGACAGTAAGACTGATAGTCACGGTGGCCCTGAGCCCTCCTGGGATGGCATCCCTCCATCGGGCCATGGGAAGCCACAGTTCTGGCCTCTGAACCTCAAGGGCCCAGGGAAGTTGGAGGGAGGGGCTGGCCCCAATTGACCACGTGCCCTGGGCAGTGTGGATGGCCTGCAGAGGTCATTCTGAGCTTTGCCTCTTTAAGTATGAAGAAGGTATACCAGTTATAAGTGTTACCATGCAGAGGGCAGCTACTCAGCTCCAGCTCTGCTGCAGGAAAAACGAAAATGGTGCCCCACTCCCAACCCTGCAACACACACTTGGAGGCAGAGGGGTGTTCCAGTGTCACCTGGTGGCCAGCTCTGGTATCACCTGATAGGGTTCTGGCCTACTTGGGCTGGGGACAATGCCTGCTTGGCTAGCAAGGGAGGAACACAGGCATCCCTTGGGCCCAACAACCCCCCTTCTTAGGGAAAATGAGGCACAGAACAGCCTGGAATTTGCACAGATCGCACAAATTAACAAAGAGCTGAGGTTGAGCCCAGAAGGCTTAGGCTCCTAGGACCCAGCTGAACCCGAGGGTCATGGCCAAGCTGTCTCTCTGCTTTAAACTTACTTTTCTCCCCCTTTTAAATGGGCTGGAAGCAGTCACTCTTCCCTCACAGGGGCCAAAGGAGCACAAAGGTGCTGGACAAATAGCAGCTGTTTCCAGCTCCCCCCACTGACCCTTCCACACTAACTTGGCCGTGCCCATCGGGCGTATGGAGGCCCCCTTATACATGACCCACTCGCTCTGGTGCACCTTGTCTCACTGAGATTTTGAGATGGTGGTCACAGCTCACACCCACACAAGCATTCCTCAGGAGGCAGCAATGTGGCAGTCTCTGCCTTCATCTTTTAATGGCCAGTGCGGTACAGTTAGTGGACAGACAGGTGGATGGGACACAGCAGGGGCTGGGGTGTAGAAGGGCAGGCCAGCCTCCCCCGGGGGAAAGCCATCTTTGGCAGGACACCCCTGGAAGCTCCCCCAGGGCCCTGACCTGGCCGGCCTGGCATTCTGCAGAGTCCAGGTTGAAGTGACCTCCAGGCACCTCCCTACTTGCTGGGAACTCTTAGGTATGTCAGGTTCCTCCTCGAGCCTAGCTGGACAAGGGTCAAAACCTAGGTCAAGGGTCAACTTTAGCTTGGTGGGGACCCTATTTTGTGGCCCCCAAACTTGTCTCCTATATCAAGTGGAGAGGACCTGGAAAGGTGTCAAGTGGGCATGGGGCAGGCCTGCTCAGGGTGTACTGCTCCTATCGACACTGAGAGGCCAGCACAAATGTGACGTGGGTCCATTCAGACCCAGGATACAATTCCTTCATGGCTAACAGAGACCCAGTGTTTAAGAACGGGGTGGCAGGGGAGAGGCGTGAGATAACAAGGCTGGGGCCTACCTCCTCTTCTGAGGGCCCTGAGGTTCATGGGGAAGGGTCCCTGGTGGCAGCTTAGTTAGGCTGCACCCCGACCAGCACTGTGGATGCTGAAAACAGAGCTGGGTGGCCTCACTGGAAGCAAACGTTCTGACTAGTGGTCTCCCATCCTGGGTACATGGGTCTGACCCCAGAGAGCTGGCCTAGCTGGAACTAGGGCATCTGCACAGATGGAGGGTGACAGCAGGTGTGAAACCAGACACAGAACACAGTCTGGGCTGAGCCCTGGGCCACAGAAACATTTCCAGCTTTCAGAGAACTTGGGGCCAGAGCAGTAGCTGGGTGGACCCAGGGAGGGTGGTGCTGTCAGCACAGAAGGTCTGGGGCCCCCAGGCACTGCAGGCAGGGAGAGGTCCCTGCAGGCCTGGGGCAACGTCAAGCCCTCAGCCCCTGTGGGCAGGGGGCTCAGAGGCCAGCAGAGGCAGAGCCATTGGCAGCGGAGGTGAGGAGGCAGCTGCCGTGGGCATCCCGTGTGAGGCTGTAGGTGAAGTAGGCCACGGCAGAGCCCAGCGTCAGCCCTGACATGTAGGACACAGTCATGGTGTTTCCTGCAGATGAGACTGATCTAAGGCGGGGTGCAGGACACCCACCCTCCAGCCTCTGCTTCTCAGGTGGAAAGTGCGAGTCAACTGCCAGCTCCCAGAGCTCGTGGCTGCCCTGGTGAACATGCTGGCCACCTGGCTTCCTGCTAACACTCTCTCCTGGTCGGTCTTGGCCTTCCTTGGCCCCATGAGGCAACCACCAGGTGCCCAGGCCTCACCTGCTTGGTCCCCAAACCTCAAATACCTTTATCTCTAGCCTCCAGCTGCCTCCTTGTTAGGGACACTCTGGAATGTCAGTGGGCATCCTGAACGCACTGTATCCCAAACTTAACCCTAATGCTGATCTTCCTGCCCTGAACAGTGGGGCCTAAGCCTGGTCTCCCCCTGCACACCCCATCTCTCAACCTGTCAGCCAGACCCATGGGTTCTGGGTCCGCAGTCAAAGCAGATCCAGAATCCAGTCCCCCTCCAGCCCCATGCCCTGTGTTCATGGGCCTGGGCTGCTGCAGGGGGCTCCTCCCTCACCTGTCCGTCCCCACAGAGTCTCTCCTTACTGTCCCAGCAGCAGCCAGACCAGCCAGACTCCCCCCAGCTTCTGTTCCCACTGCTGCCTCAGGGCTTTTGTACATGCTCCTGCTTGGCCACTCTCTCCTTGCAGCTGGCCCCTCACTACTTCCTCTAGGTCTTTGCTTGAAAGTCACCACCTCAGTGGGGCCTTCCCAGATTGCCACACAAAATCTCCCCTTCTCTGGGCTATTATTTTTCATGGTACTTGCCATCACCCAACATATTACATCTGCTTGTTATTTGTCCTTTTATTGGCTATCTCCACCTCTGGATTTTCAGCTCCACAAGCGCCAGGAACATTGTTTTGTCCCACTGGGTCCCCACCCCACAGACCGTATTTGGCACACAGGAGAGGCTCACCAAATAGTTGTGGGATGAATGAATGAAGTGACCACCCTAATGCACCTGCCAACCATAAGACCATGGTCCTCATCAAGGGTGTTGGCCATGGGCAGGGGCTTACCTGCCAACTCCCGCTGCTTGGGGCCCACCTTGCTGGCTGCCAGGATCATGGGAACACTGCCAAAGTAACCATTGCTGACACCCATGAGCAGGGAGAAGACGCAGGGCCAGGCGGGGTGGCGCAGGGCAGGCATGCCACTGGGGTAGACGCACAGGATGAAGAGGGGGATGAAGACCACACGCAGACAGGAGCAGGCCAGCAGGTGAGTGTCCCTCCAGGCCACCGGCAGGGCCGCCAGGATCTGTTGGGAGCCAGGAAAGTGGGCTACCTGCCCCCCCCGCCCTCCTGGCTTTGCCCACTCAGCCCATGTTGCTGCCCTTCTCCTTCTCTAAAGCCCCCAAATTCCACTTGTTTTTTTGGTTTTTTAAAAAATACTGATTTGAATCAGGCACAAGGTAAACTCTAGACTCTGTCATCTTTCAGCCTAAAAATTAGCAAAACCTAGCCAGGTGTGATGGCTCATTCTTGCAATCCTAGCACTCTGGGAGGCCAAGGTGGGTGGAATGCCTGAGCTCAGGAGTTCGAGACCAGCCTGAGCAAGAGCGAGACCCCATCTCTAAAAATAGCTGGGTGTTATGGCAGGCACCTGTAATCCCCAGCTACTTTGGAGGCTGAGGCAAGAGGATCACTTGGGCCCAAGAGTTTGAGGTTGCTTTGAGCTATGACATCATGGCACTCTACCCAGAGTGACAAATTGACACTTTGTCTCAAAAAAATAAATAAAAATAAAAATAAAAAACCTATTGCCACCAGTAGTCCCAGCTACTTGGGAGGCTGAGGCAAGAGAATCGCCTAAGCCCAAGAGTTGGGAGGTTGCTGTGAGCAGTGTGACGCCATGGCACTCTACGGAGGGTGATAAAGTGAGACTCTGTCTCTACAAAAACAAAAACAAAAACCTATTGCAACTAAGCACTGGTTTCCCACCCCCATACTTGTTACATCACCCATTTGTAACAGCAACACCTGATCCTCCCCATTTCATGGCAAGGTTTTGGGGTGGGGCCCTTGACCCAATTTGAGAAATGAGGACCCCCAAGGCCCAGAGACTCTGACCACCTACATTAACTCACACAGCTAGGAAGTGGCAGGGTCAAGATGTGAACTCACTATGCCTTGCTCCTTCTCCAAGCACAGACTCCTTTCTCAGACCTTTCAGCTGTGTGACCTCAGGTGGATAGCTCCCCCTCTCTGAGCCTCAGGCTCTGCATTCATTAAGACTAGGCTTCTTCCAGCCTGCCCCTAACTCTAACCCTAACTCCAGGCCCCACTCCCACTTCCTGCAGGGCACTTGTAGTAGATTCTTCTGGTTTCTTCAAGCCACTTCCTGGTGCCCCTATTTTCCCTGGTACTCTGGTGGCCAGCACCTGTGCTCATCCTCATGGAAGATCAGCAACTATGGGGCAGGAGGGTGAGTCCCTCACCTGGCCTCTGTGACCCAACTGATGCTCTACAACTCCCCTGTGACACCAGGCAGGGGCAGCCCTCCAGGCCACGCTATCTGGGATGGCAACATTGCTGGGCTGCCGCCCTCCCCACCAGGGAGCCACACACATCCCCAGCCCAGGGACCTCCCACTCCTGCCCACCTTGCCCACGAAGTCTGAGAGGTTGAACACTGCCATGATGAGGATGGGCAGCCACTCGCCCAGCATGCAGTGGCGGATCTCGGACTCCAGGCCAGGGAACAGGCACAGCGTGATGAAGTAGGTCACGGCGATGGACAGCATATCGGCCCAGATGACCCGTGCCACCACATAGCGGTGCAGCAGCAGGGCTAGAGGCATGAGGGGGTCAGAGGGTGGTGTCTGAGGGGCCCTGCCCACCACCCAAAAAAGCATCACCCACAGGGCCTGGGGGCTTGCCCTTACCCCTGAAGGTTGGCCAGCTCTGCTGGACTCTGGGCTGGGGCACGTCAAAGCGCATGTAGGCACCCCCGCTGCCAGTCACCTCATGCACTGGGCTGTCCTTTGGGGATCCGCTAGTGGCCAGGGCTGGGGCTTGGTGCTCCTGGAAGGAAGATGGCATGGGGGCATTGGGGTGGACGAGCCCCTAATCCAGGTCCAGGAGGAGCCACACTTAGACTGGCATTCAGTTTGCACCTACTGTGTCCAGGATACCATTCTGCTTTACCCTACTGAGGCCTCTCAGATTTCTGAGGTGGCAAATTCCACCTTGTCACCCCCATGGGCCCTCTGTGTGCTTCTAACCAAACCAAGCACAACATCCTAATCCCCTTCGCCAGAGGCCCCTTGAGGCCTCCCATACTCTGTCCACAAAACACAGCAGGCTGCTCCCAGCATCTGAGCCCCCACACATGCTTTGCCCTCTGCCCACAACACCCTTTCTGTGGGTCTTGGCATCTTCTGCTTCAGATGGGCAGCCCAGAAGCCCCTCCTAGAATTACTTCCTTGACTATAAAGGAGACTGGCTCCCAGAGGCCAGGGAACAGGCACAGTGTGATGAAGTCAGTCACAGCAATGGACAGCGTATTGGCCCAGATGACCCGTGCCACCACATAGCAGTGCAGCAGCAGGGCTGAAGGCATGATAGGTATGGAAGCCTGAGAAGCCTCAGTAGGGTGAAGCAGAATGGTATCCTGGACACAGGATACCTCCCATCTATCCTGGGCCTATTCCTGGGCTGGGGGGCTCCATGAGGAACAGAATTTCCAGCTCACTACAAGGTCCCCAGACAAAGATCTGCTGGATGAAGGCTTCTGTGACATTCGGGTTCTACTTTGCTGATGAGGTCTAGTGACCCTCAAATGGCTCACCTTGCTCTGCTTGCCTCCATGAGACCAGCACTTCTGACCTCATCTCAAAGGTTTCCCACCTGCCGCCACAGGCCCGGGGGCTATGCAGTCCTGCCACCACCAGAGGGCCCCCCTGCACCCTAGAATGGCCGCTTGGACAAACTGCACAGTACCAGGGCTGCCCTCTGGCAGGGGTTGCCAGTGCTGGGGACCCCAAAGGGGAAATGCCTCTGTGCTGTGACAGCAGGAAGCCCAGCACAGTCAGCCCCAGACCGTAGCAGAGCCAGAGGCCATGGAACTGAGCCTCTGGCCTTTCCTCTCTGCCTGTCTTCCCTCTGTTTCCACCCTCTCCCATTCGTCCTATGGGAGCTGTAGGGGTTCTGCCTCTTTCCTTAGCATGTCCTGTTTCTAGGTTAGGGTGGAAGAAAGTGTAAGCTTCCTAGAGAGTTCGCTGTCAGGCTGAGTTGACACCACAGGGGCTAACCCAGCAGGTGGTCTATCCCAAGAAAATAGAAACTTTAGTCTGCATAAGGTGGGGGTGTCACAGCAGACAAGGCCTATGTGTGCCTCATAAGATGGACACAGCAGCTGACCAGAGCCTCAGACAACAGGTTGGGTGGAACCATAAGGGAGAACACCTTAGTTCACATTAGAAAGCTAGGGCCTGGGCTCAGCGCCTGTGGCTCAAGTGGCTAAGATGCCAGCCACATACACCTAAGGTGGCAGGTTGGAATCCAGCCTGAGACCACCAAACAACAATGACAGCTGCAACCATAAAAATAGCTGGGCCTTGTGGTGGGCGCCTGTGGTTCCAGCTACTTGAGAGGCTGAGGCAGGAGACTTGCTTGAGCCCAGGAGTTGGAGGTTGCTATGAGCTGTGATGCCACAGCACTCTACCCAGGGGGACAGCTTGAGGCTGTCTCAAAAAAAAAAAGAAAGAAAGAAAGAAAGAAAGAAAGCTAGGGCCTGAGACAACACGGGGGCCACCAGCCTAGGGCTGCACTGGAAGAGCCGCACACACCCCCATAGCCGGCTCCTGTGGGTGCTTGGGCCTGCAGCCGTGGGGGACGGACACTTACGAAGTGGATGTCCTCAGCAGCCACGTCGTGGTGCACGCGGTAGCCAGAGCTTCGGCCCGGGCCCGCCCGGCAGCCCCGCCGGCTGTCGCGGGGCCGCGCGGCGTAGTAGAGCACAAAGCGGCTGCGGCGCACCAGCAGGTGCAGCAGGAAGCACAGCAGCTCCAGCCCCACAGACACCAGGAAGAAGATGAGCGTGCTGGCGCGCTCGTCGGGCAGCAGCAGCTTGGTAAGGATGCGGCTCAGAGAGATCATCACCCCTGCGGTGCCTGAGGGCACGGGGAGCGATGGTGGGACTGGGAGTGGCAGCCAAGACCACCCCTCATCACCCCACCTCTGTGCGCTCAGCCTGGTCCCACCCCACCCCCCTCCCCAGTTCAGCTTGGCTGACCCCCACTTAGCCCCTTTCCCACTCAGCCCTCCCAAACGTGCCTCACCCCTCCTAGCCCTGCCCAGCTCCCCACTATGCCCTCCTCTACCTTCCACTGTCCTGACCTTGCCCTGACCTCCCTGCCCCAGTCACCCCCCTCCATCCCTATGTATGTTCCCCTTATCTCCTCCCCACTCAAGAGATGTCTTACGCTCTCCTAGGAGCTGCACACTCAGACCTGCCCCTCTTTCCCAGCTCACACTAGTACCCCACAAAGACAGAGCATTTATCCTGCTGTGAGCTCTTCTGCAGGGTAGTCTTGGTTTGAGGGGACACACACACACACACACACACACACACGGGCCCTGCTGGGTGAGGGTTCACAGACAAGTCACAGAGACACAACCGCACACCTGCAGCCAAGGAACTAAAGGGAGCTGGATGTGGGGGAGGGTGGTCAGAGAACTTCTGGGAGGTGCCCTGAAGCTAGGTCTGCAGGATGCCCATTTCTTTTAGGGGCTGGTAAGAGCTCATGAGAGCTTATGATGGTGGAGCTGGAACCCCAGAGGTCATGAGGTCGGGAGGAGGGGCAGGCAGGGGGGCTGCCAGTGGGATTAGAGCTTCCTCTAAGTGGGCTCTCCCACCACTGAGTGTCAGGCAGGGGCAGGTCATGGCTGCTGTGGGCCACCCCTAGGGCCTACAGGGCTCTGAGCAAATTTAAACCCCTCAAACCAGCATGTCAGCACCATTATGGCAGTCCAATCTTTCTCTTCCCCACAACGAAATCTACCTGAAGTGATCTGTCTGCCCAGCTGCCTCACTGGAACTAGGACCCCACAAAGGTGACTGTGGGAGTTCTGGGGTTATGTGGTCAACAAAGGGAGAAATGGAGACAGAGCATGGGCTCCTGGTATGGGCTCAGCTTCCTGCCTGCGCTGTACCGGCCCTGGCTGCTCCAGGCACATCTGCAGGAAGGTGCCATCAAAGCACAGGGCTGGTCCATGTGGCCAGACTGAGGGCAGGAGTCAGCTGCCTGGACCAGAAGCTGGATCAAAGGGGACAGATTAGGACTTGAAACAGTACTGGGCATCAGGTAAGGTTCAAGCTTGAGATAGGGACTCCCACTTGTTGAGAAGGGGCAGATTGGAAGTGGTGAGGTGGACTCAGGAGATGAGAATTTGAGAAGCTTGTGGTCGGGAGTTTGAGGACAGCTTGGCGCTGAAGGTATGGCAGTAGACTTCATGGCCACAGATGGACACACAAGATGCACACCACACACACTCACAGTACTGCAACACTCCAGCCACATGCTCAGAGAGGCATGTACTTCTCACATCACAAAGGATCACAAACTCCAGAAACAGCGTGCAACCATGTTCCTTCCATCTGGGAGTCGACCCCACTTCCTCCCTCAGCAAGGCAAGGAGAGATGGTGGTCATCATCCCCAGCCCAGCATGCCCAGAGCTCGTCTCCTGGGGGTCTGCAGATACTCACTCTCCCCGGTCATCACCCCCTGTGTGTACCTCTTGGGCAGCATCCCCGTATATCCATAGAAGCTGGATTGCTGCACTTAAGACAGAGAGAGGAAAAGCCATGAGATACCCCTATAACTTGTAAGCTTGGGGAAAATGCAAAAGATTGAGAGTATCGTGTTAAGGGTGAGGATGTGTAAATAACTGTTAACACCACTAGTGGCAGGGAAATTTGACACAACCACCGAGTGGCTGGGCAAGAATGCTAGATACTGCCCACCAAATAGTGCCCATGCTACTGTTGAATCCTCATCTCTGGGGGCAGTCAGGGTCAATGATGAGCTCTGGCATTAAAACGTGAGCAGAAATGATATGTGTCACTGCTGAGCAAGTCAGCAAAAAGCCCACCTTTCTCCCACAGTACTGACAGAGGCGGCCACGTGTTGCAAGGGGAGGTAGTCGCTGGCAGCCTGAGTCCCTGAGAGATGAAGAAGAACATACCCTGCTCCCCCCAGCCCCAATGCCATGGGTTGTCAGGCAGCAGGGGTGAGAACTAAGTCTTGGGCTGTGAAGCCACTGAGCTTTCTGAGCTCATTTGTTATGACTCATCCTAACCGATAAATTCAGAGACCCAGCAGGATCCAGGTAAAATTAAAATGCACTAGATCATACTCTGAGGCTATCAAATCCATGCCTAGATGTAGACCCGGGGGCAGCATTTGTCAGACTAAAATCTGGTCAATGGCAACAATTTTTTTTTTTTTTATTAACAAAACAGAAAAGAATACACTGAGCACACTGCCTGGATTGGCCGTGATCTTTCAGAAAGGCTTGATCTCATCTATAAACACATGCACATAGCGTAAAATGAAATCACGGTCAAAAAAGTGCGAAAAGCCTACAAAACAAATGGCCTTGCAAAATGTCTCTGTCATGTCACATAGAGGCAGGCCAAGGAAACTTCCTGCATTAAAGGAGATTAAAGGATGAAACAACTAGATGAAATTTGTGATCCTACAGAGAAACCTGGGTCAGGAAAAAAAATGCCATAAAGGACATTTCCAGGACAGTTGGCAAAATCTGAATTATGGGTTGTAGCTGATATAATAGTACTGTATGAGTGTTAAATTTCCCAATTTTGGCAATTGTGATGTGGTTATAGAAGAAATGTCTTGGTTCTTTGAAAATATAACCTAAGTATTAGTATTTAAGCAAGAAAGGTGATGATACCTACAACTCTCTCTCAAACGATGAAAGGGCATACATTTAGGGGAAAATTTATGTACACAGAGGAGGGAGGTTGAGAGGGCGAAAGCGTGCACATACAAGTTCTTGGTATCATTCTTGCAAGTTTCCATAGGTTTAAAATTTTTTCAGGATAAAAATTACAAGAGGCTCAGTGCCTGCAGCTCAGCGGCTTGGACATCAGTCACATATAGCAGAGCTGGAGGGTTCAAATCCAGCCCGGGCCTGCCAAACAACAATGACAACTACAACCAAAAAATAGCCTAGCATTGTGGTCACCGTTACTTGGGAGGCTGAGGCAGGAGAATTGCTTAAGCCCAAAAGTTTGAGGTTGCTGTGAGCTGTGATGCCACAGCACTCTACCGAGGGTAACATACTAAGACTCTGTCTCTTAAAAAACAATTTTTTTTAAGTAAATAAAAATAACAAGAAAAAAAAGTTTGAAAGCCATTGCCCAAGAGAAACAGTGGCATGGTGACAAAGGCAGGGCAGTCCTTACAGGCTTGTTTCTAACAGAGAAAAACAGTGGCTGCCTCAGTGTCTGTGTCTGACAGACACATGCTCAGCACTTGGCCAGCCTGGATCATCTTGAGTCACATGACACCATCAGACAAGCAAGGCTGGGAGCCCGCAGTGGCTCAGCTCTAGCCCCAGGCCCCCAGGTCATACCTGTGCAGCCGAAGGCCACGGTGCCCACAGCAGCCAGGTTGATAGCATAAGCCTGGTCACGAGAGAACAGCTGCAGCCACACATCACAGATGCTGATAAAGAGGAGGGGGCCCAAGGCTAAGAGGTAGCCTGTGGGGGGAGAGGCCGGTGGTGAGGGGATGGTGAGCCAACTTGGTAGGGCCCCTCATCCCTACCCATCCCACGCAGTCAGCTCTCTTTACCCTCCCCCCTGGACACTGGGAGGGCCAGGGATGCCTCAGAGGTCTAAGCAAGACACCTTGGAAGACTTCCTGGAGGCGCTGCTATGAGCTGGGCCTTGAAGCTGGGTGTCACCATGAAGAGGAATGGGAAAGGAAGAGCTTATCAGGCAAAGGGGAGAGCTTAAGCAGGGGCCCAGGGACATGACACCTGGTGCTCGAAAGCCTCCAAAGGCAGTATGTTGGCTTATTGTGGCCCCACCATAGCCAGACCCTCTTTTCCTTACACTAAACCCCAGGGCATTCCTAGGAAATGTGCCCATTTTACAGATAGGCCAAGTGAGGCTTAGAGAAATGGGGTGAGTGAGAACCATGAGTGCAGGGGGAGGAGTCCTGTGGCAGGGTGGGGTCAGGCGTACCTGCCGTGATCCTGGTGTGCAGGTCCAATCTCTCCACTAGGACATTGTTGAGAAGCACAGCCACCAGTGCCACCAAGATGTAGGTGAGGCTCATGTCAAACACAATAGAGGTCCCTGTGGAGGGGCGGCCAGCTGCAAGTGCTCAGGGAGAGCCCATACTCTCTGCACCTTCCCCTGACAGGTGCTACTTTGGCTCAATGTCTATAGAGGGTGGGTGACTCCCCTGAAATCACTCAGCAATTGAGTGACTCAGCTGAGCCAAAATTTAAATAAAATGGGTTCCCAGGCAGGGTACTGCCTGCTGAGGCTCCTGGGGGCTGGGGGCCAGAGCTGAGTGTGCTGGGAGCATGTGGGGAGACTCACCTGGGTACTTGTGATGCAGGTGGTCCACGTCAGTGATAAAGCTGTTGTATGGCAGCAGGAAGCCCACCCCGGCCAGCAGCATCGCAAAGTAGATGGCATGGTAGCGGTCGTCGGGCACTGGCTCCTCCTCCACTAAAGCCAGAGACATCAGGTGATGAGGACAAGCCACTCATGGCATGCAGGGCTGCTGGCCACCACCACCAGCATGGCCACAGCTGCCCATGCCTCTGTCTCCATGGCCACTTTTGAACCATAGCCAATGCCACCATATCTACTGCCATCACAGCCACTGAAGTGGCCAGCTTGGTGAACTGTGGAATGTCTATTTGAAGACCACCTATGGGGCCAGCTGGGTGGTGACACCACATGGGACTAGGGCAGGACTCTCCGGGAGACTGTGTGTACCCTAAGTCAGTGTCTGAGGCAGGGCACTCTCGCCATAGTCAAAACATGTGCCCCAAAACCAAGGGGTGGACATGGAGTGGTGTCATCCACTCCTGCCTGTAGTGACCCACTAGCAAATCTCTGCTTCCCAAGTCCAAGACTTCTGGCTCTGCTGACCTTGGGGCCTTGGCCCCAGTAATTCCACTGAGCTGGAAGTTAAGACTGTCAACTGACCACCAGGGGTTCCCCATGGCCCCATGGCCTTTGAATCAAGACTCAAGGAAGAAGCCTCTGTGCTGGGGGAGCATGACCCTGACCAGCAAAGGGAGAGGCTGCTACTACATGTGGGGATAAGGATACGTCTGGAGTACAGGAGATTCTGACAGCATCTTAGTGCTTCCATTCCCTGGAATTGAAATCCGTGGAAAACTACAGCCCTACTCATGGCAGGACAGTTAATGGCCTAGACCTCCCGGGAGGGAAGGTTTGGGTCTCCCCCTCCCCAGACAAAGCACAACCAGGGGAGGTATGTGCTGAAAGCACAGACAACACAGATAGGCAGTGGGAGAAGGTAGTTACAGAGAACCCTGATCATGCTAGTTATTGATACCAACACCAAGGCCCCCGTCACCACAACCATCACAGTTAAAGTCACCACTGCCACTGCCATATGACCACCATCTGCCCTCATGGCTGAGGCTGCCAGGGCCACCGCACCATATCTACTGCCATACCTCAGGATTGGCCCTGTCCGCACATGTTGGGGCAGAGAGGTTACCTCAATCTCCCACAGGGCTTGGCCAACAGAACCCCCACTGCCCATCTGCTGGGAGACAGGAGGCAAGCAGGGAACACCCCCACTTTAGCCCCAAGTGGCTCTGGTATCAACAGGAGCTACCAAAGAAGAGCTGTTGCTCATGGGATGTCTCCTGAGTGCCTGGGGTGGTCTGAAGCCACAGCTTCTGGATCTTGTTACAAGCACACTGACACCAGTTTCTTTCCCCCTTTCTAGGTGACAGAGCATGGGCCAAAAAAGAATGGTGACTTCCTCAAGGTCTCCAAAGGAGGTAAAGGAGGAGAGGCAAGATTGAAGTCAAACCTGTCAGACCAGACTTACCGCTGCCCACTCAGCAAGTCTGATCTCACAGCCAGCTGGCTTCATTCCTCAATGAGGGGAAACTGAGGCCAGAGAGGACAGGCCCTTTCCCAAGGTCACACAGCTGGGTCAAAAGCCAGGTCCTCGAATTTCACACCTAGTGCCCTTTCCGGGCACTTCCCTGCTTCCTATCCAGTTAGGCATGACTTGCTTTGGCCAATGAACATGACCAAAGTGACATATGTCACTTCCAGATAGAAGTTTTATAGGCCACAGCATGATTTGCCTTGTGCCCCTTTGCCTGCCCAGTGAGCCCAGAAGCACATGTTGAGACAGAGCCTCCTTGGCCCAGATGCATCGTTGGAGCCTCTGATGTCCTGCTTGGGACACAGTACCAGGGTGGAGGTGGACATGTTTGTTTCCACACCAGATCTGCCCCATCCTGATGGATACTGTCTCCACTGCTCCATGACTGCTCAGGGCTCTCACCAGGAGTCCTGAGGCCAAGTCCAGCTTTGCAGCAGACAGGAGACTTGCTGCACCCTCACTCACCAGAGTCCATGAAAGCTGGGACACCCCTGGCTCTAACATCCAGGCCCAGAGTTGCCTCTGCGGCTGCTGCCTCCAACTGGTGACTGTCGAAGCTGAAGCTCATTGCCACTGTCCTGTCTGGTGTCTCCACCACGCTGGGCTCCTTGAGGCGCTGACTCCCAATGGAGCCCATGGTGGCCTGTGCTATGAGGGAAGAAGAGGCATGTGAGGGAAGAGAGGCTGCCCCAGTCCCACTGCCAAGTTGCCAAGGCTGTATTCACTGTGGGGGGGCACCTTCCATCTATTTCAAAGGACACTTAAGCAGAAGGCTGACGTCACCTCTTTTTTTTTCTTTTTTTTTTTTTGAGACAGTCTCACTTCACCGTCCTTGGTAGAATGCCAAGGCATCATAGCTCACAGCACTCAGAGCAACCTCTAATTCTTAGGTTCAAGCGATTCTTTTGCCTCAGCTTCCCGAGTAGCTCGGACTACAGATGCCCATCATGACACCAGCTATTTTTAGAGGCTGGGTCTTCTCTTGCCCAGGCTGGTCTTGAACCTATGAGCTCAGGCATTCTACCCACCTCAGCCTCCCAGAGTGCGAGGATTATAGGCATGAGCCACCTCACCCGGCCTTGTGATATTACCTCTTAAGAGGCTCACCCTCGGCTTGGCGCCTGTGGCTCAAGTGGCTAGGGCGCCAGCCACATACACTTAAGGTGGCAGGTTTGAATCCAGCCTGGGCCCATCAAACAACGACAGCTGCAACCAAAAAGAAGTAGCCAGGCGTTGTGGTAGGCACCGGTGGCCCACCTACTTGGGAGGCGGAGGCAGGAGACTTGCTTGAGCCCAGGAATTGGAGGTTGCTGTGAGCTGTGATGCCACAGCACTCTACTGAGGGGGACAACTTTATGCTCTGTCTCAAAAAAAAAAAAAAAAAAAAAAAAAGAGGCTCACCCTCACTGCTACGGAGAAAGGGCAGGAAGGGAAGACAGCCAGGTGACCACCTCAGAGGCTGCTGCCCTGGGAGCAACCAGGGTGGCCTGCATGGCAGCAGTGGGCACTGGAAGTAGATGGAGTGGAGAAATGTTTTGGAGGTGGAATGCCAGGACTTGGTGAACAGTCAGGAACAACAGGAAACATGTCGTGTGTGCCAACCCTGAATGCAGGCATCCCATGCATCATTTCTGCTGGGAGGGAGGTGCCTATTTTTACTCATTTTTCAGCTAAGAAAAGTAAGGGTTACAGGGCAAGTAACTCTCCAGTCTCAAAGGCAGAGAGTAGATGAGTCCAGACTCAAACCCAGGTCACTCTGGGCCATCCTGATGACCCTCAGTTCTGGGGCCAGCCACCTTCAGTGGCAGGAAGTTCTTCCTGTCGTCTTGCCTTAGTGTTTCTTGCTTTAATTCAGATCTGATAGCCGTTACCTTCAGAAGAAAAAGAAGGAGCTAATTGATCCATGGTGGAGTGATCCCACTGTGTAAACAACTGTGTGTGTGTGTGTGCATAAAGGAATCTAGCTTTTCCTCCCCCAAACAAATATGTTTCTAATAACATTTTATCTAATTGCAGAAAGGACACATGCTCAGAGTAGGGAATTTGATACATAGACATGGGAAACCTGAGCATTGGGTGCCGAGTGTGGTGTCTCAGTTTCCCTGGCCCCACAAGCTTGTGGGAGAGCCTGTGGAAGAAGCTGGAAGAAGCTCTCCCCCCCCAGAGGGTCCCATGTGCTTGGAGGTGTTCTGGTTTCTCTGGGGCTGACTTGCCACCATACCTGTCACCTCTGCCTGATTTTGTCCCATTCCCTGGGCCTTGTTCCCACAGCTCTGTGCCTCAGTTTACCCCTTCCCAGCCTCCAGGCAGTTGCAGGGACCAGTTCCCTAGCGTCCTTCCTAAGAGGTACAGAGTTTTCACTGGGGTCTAGGGTGACAGGGGTCTCACTGGGGCCTTGGAGCTGGAGGCTTCCCCACTTTCAGGTCTTTGGGAGGCTGGGGAAATTCTGGCCTTGTCAGCTGGGGGCTCATCCAAGTGATCAGTACCCATGACTAGCCAAGAGGAGGCCAGGGCTTTTTCATCACCCAGTGACCTGCTCCCCACCAAGCTCAAGGCTCTCCTGAGGGCCCCCTCACCAGCACAAGCCCCTCCTGCCACATCCGGAGCTGGAGAACTGAGCAGGGCTTAGAATCCAGCTGGTTGGGTGTGAAGGACGGTAGCCTTGGGCAGGATCCTACACACCCATCCCTGCCTGTAACATGGCCATGCCAGCCTGCCCCCTAGAGTTGCTAGGAGATGATAGAGAGTTAGTGGAGGCTTGGAGGGCCTCTGGCCCCAGGCCATCCAGCCTCGCTCTTCCCTGAAGTGCCAAGGGAGGAGGGAACAGTGGCAAGGTGAAGGTCTGTGTTATGGCAATCAAACACTGTTCCTACCAGTCCACTCGGGATGTCAGCTCAGCCCCAGAGGTCATCTGCACCCCAGAAGGCCTGGTCTGTGTTCAGCAAGCACACTGAGAGGCAGCCCTGGACCCTCAGTGCCCCCAGCATGCCTGGCCCCCAGCATGCCTGGCCCCCAGCATGCCTGGCCATACCACCCTGGGAAGGCAGACGTGCTCAACATCCAGCCAGGAGGTGGCCCTCTGCTCCCTATGGCTCATTCACCCATACCACCCAGCTCCCCCACTGTCCCCATGGCGGAGGGAGCAGGGGAGCCCACTGAAGCACTGGACGCTGCCTTTCCTAGGCTATGGGGCTCTAATTCTCTCCTTCCTGGACCTAGCACAGAAATGTCAACAGCCCGGGGCCTCTGATCTTCCCCTCCTCTGGTGTCCCTTTTAATTACGATTTAAGAACATGCATATAGGCTTATCCCAAGCATTTACAGGGCTCTGCCGTGATACCCCACTCTGAGTCAGGACTCCTGTCTGCCTCTGGGAGGAGGTTTCACAGACACAGGTCATTTCTTTGTCTTTGGGCCACCCCTCAGGCCTCAGTTTACCCACCTCACTTTTGTGAGGATTCAGCAGAGGAAGAGAGGATGAGAGACTACTTCGCAAACAAGGAGGGGTCAGCAGCTAGCAGGGGAGGCTTGGTTGCGCACAGTAGGTGCTATGGCAGCCACCTGTGGACCTCAGCAGTCTTGCAAAAGGTTGACTGAGGAACAAACAGGCCACATCTGGGCTTCTGCAGCTCAGACTGGAGCCTGCCCAGTTCACCTTTTGTGCTCTCCCATTTCAGCTGGAGATGGACATAGGAGATGGATTTCTGAGGTGGTCACATCTGAATGTGCCCTGGGGCAGTGGGAAGAGCCTGGACCCCAGTGCCAGACCGTCCCTGGGCTGGGGCTATGCTTTACCCCCAGGCAGTGAGAGGGGACACAGGAAACAATTCCACTGGGAAAGCTGGCCTGCTTGCCCTCTTTGGGCCACAGCCCAGGTTAGAAGGACTCTGCGACTCCCTGTCGCCTTTGCCTAGGCTGGGATTCCCTTGTCTCTGCAGCCCTTTCTACAGCCAAGAGCTCTAGGCTGCCCCCAACTCTTGTGTGCAGGACTGTGGGTTATAAGACCCTTTGGCCCCCTTTCCGGAGTCCCTAGAGGGCAGATGAATGCACCCAGCATAGGCCGGCAGGGCCTGACAGGTGCCCCGCAGCACCCCAGGTCCCCCGTACTACTCTGCCAGGGTTCCTACATGTCCCCAGATGCTCGCGGCACCGCAGGCTCCTCTTGCCTGCCCGACCCCACAAGCAGCAAAGTTGAATCCCAGATCTGAGCTCTCAGGCAAAGGACAGACTACTTAGGCAGGTACGAGGTGACCCTGGACCCAGACCCGGCCTCTTTCCAAGGAGTTGGACCGGGGTGGCCACGGAGGGGGCGAGATGGAGTGTAAGGAGGTCCAAGAAGGAACTTTGGGCAAGGGCACCCATAGACGTGTGCCCGGAGGAGGACATGAAGCCAGACACTGCTGGCAGGGCCCAGGTCTGGGTCCTGCGCTCGAAGCCAGGGTGCTGGGGGCCGGTCCGCTCCCGACATCGCCTGGGTAGCAGCCCCTGTTTCCGGGACAAGGGTTGGCTGGGGGGACTCAGAGCCTGGCCAGCGCGAGCGGTGACAAGGGCTGCTGCACCGCAGACAAAGGCTCCGACAGGTCCGGGCCGGCGTGTCTCGGCGCCCCGGCAAGTCCCCGCCCCTGACCGCCACCGCCACGGCGACCGCTTACCTTGGCCGACCCGGGCTGGGGTCCTCGGCGCGCCCCACCCGCCCGCGCCACCCCCGCACCCCGCTTCCTTAGACTCGGGTGGAAAGCGGTCGGCGTCCTCCGCCGGTCCCGGGGTTCCCCTGGCCCCTGTAGGCGACAGCGTATGGGGGGCGCAGCCGCGGCTGCGAGCACAGCCCGGGATGCCCCCCCCCCCCCCCCCCCCCCCCCCACCCGCCGCCTCCCTCCCCCATCCCCTCCCTCCTCCCCTTTTCCTCTCCTCTCCCTGTCTGGTCTCTTTCTTCATCTTCCCCCCGCTCCCCTCCCTCTCTTCACCTCTTCTGTTCTCCTCCTCCTCCCTCCTCTCGCGACCCTCTCCATCCAGCGACTGCTGGGATGAGGGCTGAGGAGAGGGTGAGGTAGCAATTCCCAGGGCAGGAGATGGTAGCCTCAGGTGACCCCAGGGTGACCTGTGGCTGACCTAGCCCACCATCCCCACCCTTGCTGCCTATGCCCACTGCCCCCCACCCTCTGGGAACACTCACTACAGCAGGTGGGAGGGAGGGACAGATCACTCAGGAGTGACCAGTCTGAAAGCTTTTCTTTTCCTCTTTGAGACAGAGTCTCACTCTGTTGCCCAGGATAGGATGCTATGGCATCAGCCTAGCTCACAGCAACCTCAAACTCCCGTATTCAAGCAATCCTCATGACTCAGCCTCCGGAGTAGCTGGGACTATGGGTGCCCAACACAATGCCTGGCTAATTTTTTTCTTCTATTTGTAGTAGAGATGGGCTCTCACTCTTGCTCAGGCTGGTCTCAAACTCCTGAACTCAAGGGATCCTCCTGCCTGGGCCTTCCAGAATGCTAAGATTACAGGTGTGAGCCACCTTGCCTGGCCAAGTCTGAAAGTTTTGAAGGATCAGTAGGAGTTCACAGCCTGGAGAATGGGCAGGGAGTGATTCCAGCCAGGTCTGGGGGCTGCAGCTGACCTCTACCCCATGCTGTGCC